AGGAGCATAAACACTTATAATATTAAAAATCTTAGTATCAATGATAATCTTAAGGGCTATAATTCTATCACCAACTCTATTAATTTTTACAACATTATCTTTCAAACTCTTATCTATAATTACACCTACACCATTTCTAGTGCGACTCTTACCAGAATACCAAAGTTTAAAGCCTAAATTATCAATCTCCTTAGCCTTTTCTCCAACCCACTTAGTTTCTTGAATATATAAGATATTAATTTTCCTATGAATCATAATATCAACTAATTCCATTAATTTACCATTGAGAGTGCCTATATTCCAAGATCCTATCCTAATATTAGTTTCATTAGTTATATGGACTAACTTCTTTACCCGCATTTGCCCGTAATGTGAGAACCCTTGCTTATTTAACACTACACCCGGGCGCCGGTGTAGCGGCCCTTGCACACTTTTCACTGTATTCAGGCTATACAGCGCGTCGCTTCCAAGGGACGCCCTAACACTTACACAATGATCAAAAGGATTCATGTCATGATTTTTTTTCGACAAGTTTTACGCTGGCTGTCGACTACCTAACGCAACCCTCCACTTTTCGCATCCGGGCTTGGGACCGGCAACGACAGTGTTAAAATTTAATGGAATTAAATGTATTTGAATTTTATGCTGGAGTTATGAAGTCAAAAGCAGGATTTAAGATGCATTTATTGTAGCTACTCTTTGGATTACTATCATCCCTTTATATATAATGCTTATAAGTATCATTTATATATAATGCTTATAAGTATCATTAATTTATAAGACAAGGGATAGAGATGAAATAAAAATCATATTAGAGAAGTATTTTTTTTTTCTCCTTAGAAAATCATTGTGGCTTTTCATTTGTTGTTCTTTAGCTAGGTGACTTAAGACATCGTCTTTTTGGTGAGTGATTTACTTTTACAATTTTACTTTTTTTGGTGCGATTTCCTGCTTCTATTTTAATCCAGAAGTGTTTTGGTGCTTCTCTCTAGGTTCCAACTTCTCTTCTTTTGTTCACTCCAAGTTTAGCAAGTTGGCAAAAAATTATTGTAATCCAGCCATGTACCCTACTTTCATCTCTACAGGCCAAAACTATCATATCATAACTCCTAGCAACTTTTGTATCTTCCTTTAAGATCTATTCATAGAATACCTACACTAATCACATCTACCAAACTGACCCTCTCTGAAGCTTCACATAAAAGCAACAGCTCAAAAGTCATCCCAAACCTTACAATTCCATGGTAGGTTCAGAGTTACCATTGGATTTCTACCTTCCAACGCTCTCTAAGCCTTAATTCACTTTCATTGGGTTCCCCTACATGTCCTCACATCAAATAAATTTAA